TTTTCGTTGACGATTCTATTCCTACTGTTTTAATAATTTTTATTGTAAGGATTCTGCCATCTGTAGAACACAGGTTTAACATTTGTGAATTTCGAAGGAATTTTTTCAAGGAATATTTTTCGTTTCCTTCGATCTCAGATGTAAGCAACTGAACATCACTCCATTGAAGTTATTAACAAAAAAAGTTCAGATATCGTCACAAAAAATTGAATTGTTGATGTTTCATCTGAAATTGTACTTGTCTCTTGATGCAGATGCTTTGTTCCCAAATTTTAAAATGTTATTATCTGTATGATTTGCTGGATCCCGGGCTATAATCTTGATCCCGGAGTTTTGCAAATCCCGATTCTGAGAACACCTTACCTCGGTAATTTATAAAACAACAATTGCTTCATTCCTCTGAAAAGTGTTGTTGTTGTTGTATGCGTTCCGAGTTTGCTTTCTGTCCCATTTGCTTTCGAATGATTTTGTCTCTCTCCAGCGCGATGCGATACCAAAACTGAACGTGTTAAGTAAAAGAAAATTATGTACGTAAGTTCCTATTTATTCAGTCAACTCCTTGCGCATGCGATATCATTCAGAAATTAGGATGTTTCTGCTGATCGATTGGTATAGTGCATAGGCTATGCAAAGGATAAGCTTCTGAATTCAGAGTGTAATGCACTATGACTCGTAATTTATATAACCAACCAATTTGTATACTTAATGCAATATTACTGAAGCAAAATGCAAAACATAGCTGGAGTAGTAGGAAAGGAACGTGAAGCTGGGGACAGCAATCGTCAGTCCCGGAATCATTTCAGAGCAACATCTTTGGAAAATATCATAATCAGATTTCAACACAACAAAAAAATTTGTTGTTGAGCACCTGCGCCCGACATATAGAAATATGCGTATATGAATTTACGAATAAAGAAACAACGACCAGAACTGAAAACATTCGTTCAGTCGAGGGAATGAAAGTTGTGTTTGCTGAGTGATTAAGAAGAAACAATGTAAAGAATGTGCATCTTAATAATAATGAATACTTATGAATTGAACTGTGGTACGTTCATGAAAGAAAAATTTTATATGCCAAAAAATCGTAAAAACATCAATCAAAAAGATGTCGTCTCATGATAAATTAGTACAGTGTACACTTGAATGCAACACATTTTCTTGCTTTCATTCAAATGCGCATTACAAAATATATTTCGCGAACATGTTCACTGATTCTTGACAGATTGATAAACTGTCCTGATAGACCTGCGTTGACTGATGACGACGTTATCCATCATGCGAACGTGCGTATTTGAAGAAACGAAGCTTTGAGTTTTCGAATGACTTCAGTTTTTTTTGTTTTTTTTTCATTATCAGTTGTTAAATGAAGGTGGATTGGATAGAGTACAATATCATAGCTCAGTTTTCAATCTCAATAGATGAAAGAATTTATGGAAGATGAATTACATCAGTTCATGATTGAAAAACGGGTATATGTATATAAAGAATCATAGATTAGCGACAATATAGCACGAAAAGTTTGCTTGCGTTCGGCATTCATTGTTATCTGTGATGACCATTTGATTGTTGTTGCTTTGAGCAATTACTTTCAAGCCATTGATTCATATTCACTTCGCTATTACATAAGCATTCTTAGTAAACTTCTTATAATCGTCTACGTCTCGAAATGAATTTCTCGTTTCATTAAATTGAATCAAGAAATAGTACAACAATCGCTTGGGCACGGTCACATCGTCATATCGTATTTCGAAAACATTCAAGAGGTGCGCACCTTTAATGTGTCATACATAATTAGACGCATATTATGCACACAATAACCCGAGCGCATGTAACTCATACATATAAGAGTAAGTAAATGAATGAATAAGCGAGGTATGTATGTACTGCCCAAATGATTGATCATATATCCATGTTGTGGTTGAATGCTAGCAATCGCGTTCTCTCTGCTCTGCCTCACATCAGATCATTTATAAGCGATTGACCGTTGTTGGAGCCATTACCAATCATGTCAAATTCATGTTTTGCGCCATCGCTAATAACCACATCTTTAAAATTATGCCTCTTTTCTTTGGCTTTTTGCAAATCGCACCTTCAAAATTGCAGTTTTTCCACAACTTCTGTGTGATTGCGGAGTCTTTAAAACTCTTTTCGATAAAATCTGATAGCAGCAGGGCATCAGTTATGTCTGACCAGTTATTTGATCGCGGGAAGTTGTTTCGTAGATAACGAGTGAGTGGGTGATGAATCACCGCTGTATCTATGGATGGTAGCTTCATTCGATTTGGTTCATTTTCTTTTTTTTTTTTTGAACAACTTAAGGAGAAATCTTCAAATCGAACCGGAGGCCAAGAGAATGAATGAATCGTTCAAAAAGTAGAGAAACGAAGCAGTTAGAGGTTGAGCTGAAGGCAATATGAAATTGAGGCGAATAACGTTTTAGAATGAATGACGTGATCGTGTAAGATATTTTTATACTATCAATAAGCATAAACCATTCAAACACGAACGCACACAAACGCACAACTATCAGATTGCGAGCTGATTGGTGCATCTTCTCTTACCTGTTATATAACTGCTATTGGTACGAATACGAGTAGTCATTAAAACCAACCGTGCGTTGTAACAGTTGATCTATCGCATAATGCGTTGCGTTTAATAGTATTTCTATGATGGTCATCATGATATTTTCAGCGAGTATGACAGGAACATACTGTGAGGATATTTATTTATTTATTTATTTATTTATTTATTGGGATATCATCATCAGTCATCCTTTATCTGACTTTTACCACAGCTCTTCCCATCAATGTTTTTGTTTTCTTGTTATTGATAGCAGAGTAGTGAATGGAGTGCATAGACTGACAATTTCGATGGGAGATAAGTATAAATTTCAGTAATATTTTATGGTAATATCGTCTCTTGAAGTATACGTTTTCCATTGCTTTCAATCCTTTAATAATTCTACGGTATAAAAAATCTGGAAGAATTGCAGAAGTGCATCGGGAATATCTGAACGTTGTGGATCTTTGAGGTTGTCGTTGTTCGTTGTAGGATATGTATGATGAATGTGTTCATATTTTTGCGATGTTGAAAGAGAAAGAATGATAATATATATTGTTTCATGAAGTGCTAAAAAAGAGGAGTTCACAGTAATACCTCTTACAAAATGTGCCGCGCAATCTTTCGAACCTGTTCTTTGCATTGCTATCGGCGAAGTCGTAGTGAGAGGAGCAGTTAAGTCAGTTAGGAAAATAGAGAATAATATAACACTGTTTTGATGATATCAGTTGCTGTTTCGCTCGCTCATCAGTGCAGTTCTTGGTAGCGACTCAAACATATTGTTTTTAACTGATCGGAAAGCTGGAGCGAGCGCATCATTTTAACCGTCAGAGATGTTTTAAATTATTTATTTCACTTCTCTTGTTCTTCTCAAAATGTTTTATTTTTTCGGACCGTTGGCTTAAAATTTATGAGATGCAGGGATAAGAGAATTCCAAAAAATTGTGTCGAGTTGCGAGGAAGAGCGATGTGATGAAAGAGAAGGAAGATGAGAACAGTTGTGATGCCATGTTTACTGGTTGCATTTCCCACTCTATGAGCACAATTATGTGTGATGAATGTAAACAATTGCCTGAGGCAACATCACCACCAATGTGTGATCATCTAGCTCTGAATGTTATCGGTTGCTGATTATCGATTCTCCTCAGCATTCTGTCGGTGTCTAATTCTCTGATTGTTTTTTAATTGTTCCTCAAATCAAGTTGCGTCCTTTCATCAGTCATTATCTAATTGTTTTCTGCAGTGCTTCTTTCTGTTTGATATGCCATACAGTCATCTTATCGACCTTGTCAGTTCGCTGATGAAGATGTTCCGGAGTTAATGTTTTACATGATTGTGTTCATCATTCACTTGCTTTTTAAAACCTTCAAAGAATTACCCCAGTCATAGGCATTGCAGCTAACTTGTTAACAATTTGATAATATTGTCAGTTGAACTGACGTATAGATCACCATATTAAACATCTAGCTATAGGTAAGTGTGCTTCATCGAGCTTGCCCTCCTCACATAATTTGTCATTCAGCTCTCTCAATTTACTTTGATATGATCGTTGCTTGTGCTTATCATGCAGTAAACATTTGGAGAATTACATCATCATTTCTCATCACTCAATGATCGTGATTGCATATAGGAAATAATTTCGTTCTTTGAAAGCCTATAGCGCAGCATCACTGCAGCAGGTGATTCATTGCAGAAAAACGAAACAATTTTCATTCAGTACACCTACGCAGCACCAGCAGTTGCTTAATGATACAGACAAGTTGACGTAATGTAGGAAAGCAATCCGACAAATAAGAATATGTTGTCAACTTACGCAATTTAATGGTTTGCATTGCTCATAAGATCTTAATCATACTTGTTTGCGTTGTTATAATATGAAACGGTAAATGTGATAGTAGTGATCTTCGATACACTTTAGTTGAATTGAAACAATGAAGTCAGTCGTGAATTCTTTCAATGTGGCAAATGCGCGTGTTGATTTTGAAATTACACTCTATTTCGTGAGTTGTTATATAATTGTATGACGAGAATTATGCAAATTTGGAGGTGTATTTCGCATAAAGTATTATATATGTGTTTGAAGCGCTGTTTATATGAATTGTTGAAAAGTCATCTTTTAATGCTACCATATGTGGATGTTGATGTGCATTCGACCTTTAGTCATACGAGTTAAATGTCTCAATTTTAGGGTACGAAACCCTGTTCAAAGGCATAATCTCAAATCGGCAACAAATCCTCTTGATTGTGCGTCCTAACAGACGCTTCTTTCATTAGCATTACTCATTCGTAAGTGTTTTGCCATAAATCAACTGAGTCTGCATATTCGTATATTTCACATCGATTTTTGAGATAGCTGCCAAAACGATTCTCATATATCTACTCAGCGGTTCATTATTCTATTCAGTCCTTCGGCGTTTCGCGTAAACTTCAATCGATAAGTTTTTTTACGCGATTCGCTTTTGATATCGTTGAACTGCGAAGTGATACGCTTACACGGATTTACTGCTCATTTAGTGAAGATGATCGATGCTGTTGCGGCATTTCAACATGAAATGCTATGGACCATTATCATTGGCTTTTTCATTGCTTTCATACTGGCGTTTGCGATTGGTGCCAATGATACAGCCAATTCTTTCGGTACGAGTGTTGGAAGCAAGGTATTATTTGTTATTGCATGGAGAATTTTATTGCACGCTTCAAATTAGAGACATTAATTCTAAGTAACAGTCTACAAGCACTCTGTCATTATAGCAGCTGATTAGTAGGTCTGTATCATGAGAGAGTAGTTGTTTTAAATGTTTAATTTAGGACGTTTTAGCTGAAATCATCTTATAGAGTTACTTGATGCAGTTGCATTGCTAGCTATTCGGTTCCTTCGAATATATCAGTCCTCTTGTACCAGCTCCAGAAAGACATCATCCGTGTCCATGTTTACTAAAACAATATCAGTCTGATCTCTCACGATACCTCTTTTACACGATCAAATTCCTGAAGCAGCATATGTTAATATTGTTGTGCGTCCAACACCGTTCAAAATTCCTAGGTCGTTTTGAGGGCCTTTTAAATGAAGCACGATGATACGAAAAATTCAGATGAACTTCAAAGTTTTGCTCAAATGGTGTTCGTAATTGCAAATGAATTACGAACTATAATACACATATCATTGATGCAGTAAATCATGTAATTATTGATGCCCTCGTTCCAGATAAGCTATACTGTCCCTACTCTATTCTGTTCTATTACACTAGGATGGAATAGAACAGTTTCAAGTTTTGGATGCGGGGACAGAACAGCACACAAGGATTTGAAATTTCGGATTTGGAGTGCAGGCGAAGAACAAAATAGAACAGTTTATTGGTAAAACGCAATAGAATAGCTTCAAAATTCAGGAATATGAAAATAGAACATAGCAGACAAATTTTTATTAGTAGTAGTATGCAAACGAACTTTCAGTTCGGTCAGAATAGGACCGAATTCATATCTTGAGATTCCGAAATTCGGAACTCCGACCCAACTTCAAGATTGTTCCGTCGAGACCCGAATCTCCAAATTCCGCCCGAAATTCGTCGGATTTTTCCGACCAAACTTTAGTCGGTTACCACCAGTAAGAGTCATAATGTAGTAAAAAGCAACTGATCGCAAATATGCTTTCAGCTGAAACTGCAGTTTGCAACAGTCTAATGTAAGTGTAAATTGTCGGGTGACTGCGACTAGAATGATTTCTCTGTGGCTCTATCAGCTAATTAAATGACCTTAAGTGTCAGTTGACAGGAGATGATAAAGAGAACTGCCTTTTTCGACTTGAAAATGTTCGATTTTTAAGGTATTAACGCTACATCAAGCATACCTATTGGCTTCGTTTTTTGAAACAATGGGTTCTGCGTTGCTCGGTTACAAAGTGACGGATACGATGCGTAAAGGCGTCATCGATTTGGCCGTATATAATAACAGCGAGGCTGAGCTGATGTTCGGCCAGATTTCCGTACTTTCAGGTACGAATTACCTTGTTGCTTTCAAGATTTCAGTTTACACTTATCAAATTTTTATTTCTCTGACAATTGTGGCTGCGTTTTTAAGTGTGCATAAATACCATTAAAGGAACAACTCTCCGTTTGTCATAATAATGGTACAACTGTTCGATGTAAGTCCGATTATAAAACTGAATAAGAAAATTTGCGGTGTGGTGCACCGTTCTATGTCATATTGAGCAGTAAGGCAAATGCGAATTTCAGAAATTTACTGTTCAATTCGTTATCCATTGCAGGATGTGGTGCTTGGTTGCTGATCGCGACATTCCTAAAGTTGCCGGTCTCGACCACCCATAGCATTGTTGGTGCAACACTGGGCTACTCGTTGATTGCTCGTGGCACGAACGGCATTAGGTGGTGGCCTATCGTACGGATTTGTAAGTGTCCTCTCGAATAGACTTAACTGTTTTCAACGTGTGCCTCTTGCTGTTTCTGTATCACCTGATGACTTTCTTTTCCAGATATTACCTTTGTGTGTTCATGTTTTTTACGTCAGTTTTAAATTTCCTTGAATCATTTCGAATAGCTTTTTCTGGATAATTTTGGAAGTGAGTGTCGCTATTAGTTTCTTTTGTCTCAAGCTAACGGTGTAATGCGGCTTTTTGAATTCATCCATTTATTTTTGAATTGTGAGTGAGTTAGGTAGATTTCCGATGTCTTGAACAGTGATTCGATTGAACCCTCACGTCAAGTTTTTAATTTGATTTTTGCATTCAATGGTAATTTGTTCAAATTGCAGTTCTTTCGTGGTTCATTTCTCCAATCTTATCGGGCATGGTTTCAATCGTTTTCTACATCGTCATAGATCATAGCGTTCTCAGGCGGAACCGTCCGTTGCACTGCGGACTTCTATTACTACCTGTTCTTTATTTTATTTGTGTAGCTGTGAATGTTTTCGCAATCCTCTACGACGGCAGTGCGTGTTAGTGTTACGTTGCGATCGTTTCAACCGAAAACTTCTGTTCACATAAATACCTTTCTGCAAGGAGAAAAGAGCCGAAAACAATTCCTGCCCTAACAATAATCACCATCCCTAATGAAAATTTCTATCCATTTTGTGAAGACTTCTTTATTCGGATCACACTCTGGCCTCCTAAAAAATGATACTTTTACACTGAGAATTCTCTCCATTCAATCGTACACGAGTTGCTAATTTAGGCCATTGCCTTCCAGATGGTGATCTTTACTTAGACTGTGTGAAGAATTACTCTTCAGCAATAAATACCCCAGTTTTTACAGCTGTAGATTGAGCTCAGTCATGAGTAAACTCTAATTGAATGCCAGTAAAGTGGAAATTAATGAAACACGATACCATTTCAGTTTTGGGTCTTGACAAGTTGCCATTTTGGAGTATACTCTGCTTAACGTTTGGATGTGCGCTCATCGTCGCAATTATCGTTCAATTTTTTGTTGCGCCGCGCTTAAAACGGCGCATTCTTGGTAAACTTTCGAACGCATCATGTACGCAGTATAGTTAATTTCTTTTTCAGTCAAGTTTTTAATCGAAATTCGAATAAAATTTCAGATTTTTAGGCATTTTTTCGGCGCTCAAGAAAAAATGTTAGCAGGTTGACTTTATAAAAATTCGTGGTGAAAATATTTTTCACTGATGTCACTTAATTTCACTGATTTGAAATTTGCATTGGCGTAGTTCTTGTTTCAAACGAGTTTTTCGAAGAGAAACTTCATTCATTCAGGTTCTCATCTTGACTTGATCTGGCATTTTCGCATCTCTGGTTCGTATAATATTGGGGCTGATCTCAAACTGAAAATGTCTTCTCCGTTTCCGTTAAGGAAAGTCATGAATGAGAACCTGTCCGATGAAATTTTGATCAACTAACATTCACTTTCCAGAGAGTACGGTCAACGAAGCGCAATCCTATAGTAACACTGGCGTTGAATTGAAATCGGCTCTTCCGAGCACAACCACTCTGGATAGGAACGCCACCAATTCACAGAGTCAGTTGGTATTCAAGCTTTCATTGATGCCACTGGCACCAGCTCGAGTAAATGAGTTGCAATTAAGCCATCTATATTCGAAAGAAAATTATAGGACTTGTTAGTGTTTTCCGCTGAGATCAGATCAACTCTGAAGATCATTTTTACAACAGTGAAACTAAGACGGTCTTACTTCTGTGTAGTTGTTCTACGATTTGCGTTTGTTTTTTGGTATGATCATAGTACGCGTTTTTGAAATTCAATAAATCAAGAACCAACAGCATGCAAATATCGATGAGAAAACGTAAAAACTAATATGCATAGTAGTGATCGGAATTTGGACTAACCCTCTTCCCCCCTCCCATACACATACAAAAATCCCACGCAGGGATACGAATCATCGCGACAAGTTACGGGGGCTTTCTGCGAGGCATGCTTTCATAGGCAATCTCCCAGACTCATAGAGGCCCTCGCCATATCCCCTGGGGACCCCCAAATTGTAAAACACAGATGAAAAACAATAATTCGTTGTATAAAACTCATAATTGCTGTATTTTTCATAGCAAATGTTGCATGTGAGTGCTATAAGCAGTAATATCCAAGCTGCAGAACTAAAAAAAATTTTTTTGACTCCACCAAAAAAGTGCCGCAGCAACATTCAGTAACTGAAGTTAGGACTTGCCTGGTAGATATTTTTGGGCGAAGCAAATTTCAAAGCCGTAGCCGAAAATTTGGAGGATACGAATTCGCAGCTGGAGCTGAAGATGAAATGTTAGAATCTCTGAGTTTCAGCTAGAGCCGAAGATGGATTTTCTAGATAGGGTAAGCCACAGCTGGAGCCAAATTTTCAGAACTTCGGAGATGGAGATGAGTCAATTTTTTTTTTCGAATTTGAGCGTCACTGATCATAAATCTTTACTAAAATTATAAGACCAATAATAGAGAAAGGACACTAAATAATGTTGCATCAAATAGTGATAATATTCTGATTTTGTGAACCGCACAATAAGCACAGGTCTGCCTCTCCAGTTCGCATTCTGCGGGTCATCAATTCATTCAGTTGCACTGACTGCTCCAAGTCTTAGGTCACCATAGGGCAAGAATCAGATTTTTTGCTCTCTTTCGATGATCGTTCATCCTCTTCCGACGAAAAATTCTTCGTCCTATTCCGACGTCCTCTTCGTCCCCTTGTCATTAGAACCAGCAGCTTGAAGTGGTCTGCGCTGCCATGTTCGAAGAGACGCTCCAAACACCAGTAAATTATGCTACTGAAGGTTCAGATAAAGAGCACGGGGCCCTTGCAAGGTCTTCGAATTTGTCTGCTCCCCGCGAGGAATTCCGTTCAAAGAATCCCTTCTCCCCGCGGGGACTGAAAATTCTTCCGCACTCGTAGGAGAAATGATTCATCAGAAATCGTGACGGTCTCGCGGGGGGGAGGCCCTTTTCTAATATTAATTTTCGGCATGTCGTCATCTAAGCTCAGCGAAATTCTTTTCGATCCCCGTGCGCCACCAGTAAGCAGATTCCTTTTTGCTAAAATATTCTCTCTAGTTCAGCTAACACTCCCACAACGCTTGAACTAAACATTATTCATCGAATGAACCGTTGTTTTCCTGGAAGAGGTTCCGTGTTGATGCTGGAGATGAGTTCGTTGCGTAGGACAATCATTGTGAGCATCTCGGAATATTAGACTAGCTTTGATAGTTTGGCAAACTTATGCATATTCATTCAACATTTCTTATAGGAAAATTGAAAATGCGTAAGTTCAAAATGTTGCACGTTCAATCGACAATGATGGGTGGAATTATTTTTCTGTGGTGTTCCGCCTCGCTGATTGCATGTTATGTAATTAGAGTCATCAAAATGAGTGTTTGTAATGCGATTTTTGATCGACCTGATTGAATTGATCATGCACAATGATAGATATACACGTGAATGTTTGTCTTTAGAATTCGTATAGTGAATTGAATGTTGTTTTGCATGCATCGCTTAACTCATTCATGATTGCTTTCTTAAGGGGAATCCTATTCAGGCACGCGCGCTTTACTTCAGTATGAAAATGGTCGTCAGAACAGTCCAGATTGTACTACTGTCGACGTTGGTAATTCGAATCAGTACTGTAATGGATTTGAAGCGGTCAACAGCAATATATCGTCGCATTCACATCTGGTTCTTGGTGCAAACACCATTCGTCCAACGAACAGCATAGAAGGATTTTTTCGATCAACCAAACCCGAAGACCCGCAAGCTTCGAAACTCTTTAGCTTTCTTCAGGTGATGACCGCTTGTTTTGGTGGATTTGCTCACGGTGGCAATGACGTAAGGTTCGTTGGTTTATGTTGTTGACTCACTATGACCGTTTGATAATGGTTAGAAGCTTTCGGTGATTAACTGTTCAAGAATCACCTGACAGTGATTTTGCCCCATAAAAATGAAGGGCTAAGCAAACTTAGCTGGTAGTTTGATCAGTGATCTTTCTTTACCCGAAAATTGATGAAGTGCGCTGTTTGGAATGTTCATCAAGAGAATAAATAGTCGTCAATGAGCGAGAGTTCTTTTCTTCAGTAATGCCATAGCTCCTGTTGTTTCGCTGTACGCGATCTACCAAGAGATGTCAGTGCTACAGACTTCGAGTACGCCCGTATGGTTGCTTCTGTATGGTGCTGGTGGAATGTGCATGGGTCTTTGGTTGCTTGGTCATCGAGTCATTTATACTGTTGGTGAAAATCTCACTAAGATCACTCCACCAAGGTGCTGTTATGTAAATAATCATTCAATGAAGTGTTACATACAATATAAAATGTCATTGCAAATTTTACGTCGTTTTTTCATCCACGTTCTCAAATTGAATTGGGCAAAAATAAGGTTTTTGAACAGGGCCTGTCTAGATGCAAAAAATTCAATTCATTTATTTTCTTGGAAGCATTTTGATTCATTTTTACATATGTTGAAGTTGAATTATTTACGAAGTTGAACTCAGAGTATGCGCTAAAGTATAAAAGAGTGCTTTCTCGAATGAGTGGTCGACCATATTAACACTAGTATTTAGTAGTGTTCGTTTCCAACTGTTTTGAATCACTAATGATCGCCGCAGTTATCAAAAACCGTCATGTGAAGATGATAGTGATTCCGAATTTTTTGTCGTGTTCATCATTTTGAGGAGTCGAAACTACCCAACTAATTAGTTACAAACTGAGAAAGATGTGAATTGCCTAATTTTCTGAAGAAAGGGGCGGCGAGGGGGGGGAAGAGGTATGCACTGAAAAGATTTGTTAAGTAGAATAGTCGATGTTTTATGCGCAGAAAGGAGTTGCTGAAAACGAAGAAACTGAAACAGATCTAAATAATGATTGAGTTAGTAAGTTGCTGTGATTTAGACCACCTTTGGCGTTTTCCTGGCCAGAAATTAGGTGCGTGCTTGAATGCAATTTTATTTTTTCGGGGAAGGGGGGGGGGAGTAAATTCATTCAAAGGACTCGAAGAAAGACCTATTCAAGGATGCCGTCTGTCAAATGAGGTGTTGTTTTCTCAATTTTTAGGAAATTCATTTAAAGAACGAAATTGTTCAGGGAATGAAGATGTTTGAATTCACAATGCACAGTTCACTCGTGAATTGTGGATTCTTCGACTATGATTAATACGTCTTCTTTCAGCGGTTTCGCCATCGAATTCGGAGCAGCTGTCACGGTACTAGCGTCAAGCAAACTCGGTCTACCGATTAGTTCAACACAGTGCAAGGTTTCTTTTGACATTCTCTGTTTGATAAAAATAAACCTATTCTGATATAAGTTCGAGCTAATGGAAGCGTACAAAATTTATACAATGTTATGCTTCATTTCAGGTGGGCAGTGTTGTAGCGGTTGGCATGGTCCAAAGAGCTCGTGCGGTCAAATGGTCAACCTTTCGCAATATCTCGCTTTCGTGGCTAGTTACTTTGCCTGTAACGGGTGAGTGTTTTATATTGTTTGAAAGCAGTAAACTCCAGAAAGTAGTCAGTGCTGCAGCCCATAAGTAGATGAGTATTTGTGCATTACTATTGCAAACGGCGTATCCTAAACCATCTTATTCTTCACCTTCTCTTCATGGTAGCTTCTTTATTACAACGGAACATTGCAACAAGAGATTACTGGGTGAATTTTGGTTAGAATAATTTCTCCTTATCATCATACGAATAATTTGTTCATCTCTATTTAGCAGTTTGTGAAATGCGTTAAAAAGTCGTGTAGTTTTATTTATTCATCTGAATTTCAGGTATACTGAGCGCTTTAGTGATGCTGCTGCTACGCTCAGTTGCACTCTGAAATGGAGCTTTATCAAGGCGTTCTTATGGTATAAAGTGCTCACGTCAGTCAAACCGAATATATTGTCACACATATGTTAAACGTCGAAGTTAAACTATATATGTCATTCCTTGTTTCGATCAGATGTAGTTATTCATTTCCAGATAATCAGTGTTTTAAGATGCCGTGATCGCTTGGAAACATGGTGAATAGTTTTGGTTTTGGCAATAACTGTCAACTGGAGAGATATCTGCGTGTGCTGTTTCAGAGAACGGGTGTTTATTGTATGGTCTGTAAAGACTGCAAACAAAGAATATGTGATGTGATGGGTTCGGTGTGTTGCGAATTGAAATTCGACAATTGAACTTTGTGAGTTGATACGATCAACGTGATTTTGTGTTTCATATTGTTATTATGATCGGTGTTGACCAGCTCGCTATTTCAATGACTCAATGTTACTCCGTGTTAATCTTAAAAAATTATAATACTTCAAAAAACAAATAATCATTGTTGACAAATGTCCTCGGCTGGTCGCTAGGCAATGATTCTCTAATCAAGAATCCATTAATTTCAGCTGTTTTTTCTTTACTCAATTAATTTTTATACAGGTGTTATGTGTTATCAATAACTGTAGTCGTTGTTTTGTTGTTTTTTATATTCAGAGATTTATTTTTGTGAACACTCGTGATTGGAAGATTGTAATAATTTGTGAATTAGCTGTTGATGGAACAGTTAGTTTTTCGAAGTGCATTTATCGATAGATGTCCTTTTCAGTGGGATATTTATTAAACACAATTTTTTTCACTTCAAATAGGACTTTGTTACATTCAATGCTCCGTTTCTTAGAGAAATACTGACTGCTACACTTGGACGTATTTTTAAAAACATTTTTGCAGAAATTAAGCATCAAGCGTTCAATTTACTATCAAGTTCAATTTATTTCACGCAGAGCTGCGTGAAAAACAGTAAGTGACCAGTTTCAGTACGTGAAAAACAGTAAGTGACCACCTTAGGTTTGGTGTTTCAGTCAACTTGGGGGACTTGGGCGCACACGTTACAGTATGTCATAGCGGAACGAGGTGAATTAGGAGAAAATGAATAAAATTTGCAAAAATGAATCAGTTTTAAAATCAGCTCGGAAAGACAGCCAGTAATCGCATGATATTTCATTGGCACGGATGTGGGACTGGTGAATACTAAATGCGTGAAAGTATAACACCAATTCAATTCAAGACGACAAGAAAACATTTCATTCGAATCTCTTCTATATCCGAATATTAAGACAGCACTACATTCAAAATTCCTTTTCTGAATTTAAACGTTATCTGAGTTAATGTACGAGTAAATTGAATCTATCGATTGATCTGCCGAGGATGAGAACCCGCTTTATTGTTACAATACTAAAGCATCTCAATGAAGTTTAATGCTTTGAGCATTTCCAACACTCGACTCATTAAAGTGACTGAACAAACGTTCGAACGACTCTCACTGATTTTGTGTACTGTTGCCGAATGTCAAATAAGTGCAACTCTTTTGCACCGGCAATGAGGAGATTGTTGCTCGCATTCATGTGGACAGCTCTGTGTACACAATGCATCATTTTTATAACTGCTCGGCTTGTGTTCAGCCTTATCGTTGCGAAATTCAAACAAAAGAATAAATTTAAAAATGCAATGTTCGTGCGGATAACAAATATAAAACGTGTGTTAGCAAGTCTCTCAATTCTAATCGACATCAGAACTGAAAAAAAAAAGACGAAACAAGGGCATTGTAATACTGATCTGTGTTGAGAAAAATATCAAACGAAACAATTTCAATAAACAGGAAGGTAAACAAACAATACGTAGGTATGAATAAGATGCGTTTTTGTCGATCACCGAAGCAACTGACTGAACGCATTCGATTTTGTCGTTTTCATGCATTTTATGACAAAAACAATGAAAAGGCGATGTTTCGTTATCAGTTGTGATGAAACGAGTCAGTTCCGTCGTTAGAGCACAATGACAAATGCTGACCAATTATGACACATTGTAGAACGAACATATTCTAATTAAAGGATCTTTTTTTTTTGGCAATTGCTTCGCCTAAATAAATCTTACAGCTTTCCTAATGTTCCAACGGTTTTTTTTTGTGGCAACCTGCAAAAAGCACAACGTGCATTATGACCACCTCTGAGCCTGAGCCTAAAGCGAGCCTCAGACTAACCCTGAATCTCATTCAAACGGATGAAACTGAATTGCTAACGAATTCGTTACACAGGCTTTTTTTACTTAACTTTTTGGCATTCTTGGAACGTACAGCGTACTAACGGCATTACAATACTCTTTTTGGGACGTTCAACAATACTTCAACGCTGATTTACGAATAATCGAATATATTGCAGAAAAAAAGCATAAAAAACTGCGAGACACTCGTAGTTCCGAGCAACACACTCCGTATAACAGCTTCAGATGGTAACAATTCCAACGAAGAGTTCAAAATCATTGAGGATAAAAGATCCAAAAAGCCTAAACAATAAATAATGAAAGTTAAAGCAACTATGTACTTAATGCCTTCAAAACGCAATTTAAGAATCAAAGCTCTCGTCAACAGAGTATAGCATAATCATAAATATCTTCAATAGTTGATAATTTTGCCATTGCTAACTAAAATCGAAAAACATCCAATAAAATTACGAGTCTGAAACTACTGTTAAGTGTGGTTTTTGAGTTTCATTTGAATGAGATGAATGAAATGCTGTTTTTACGAATGGATAGGTTTGTCTTTCGCCTACTACTATGTCTTTAATTGTAATATTTTAGAACGAAAATATTCGTCCCGACGATGTGACAGAGTTACAATTTATTGTTGTTTTATAACGACCAAAGATATTTTCCGGCATCTATCATTGTTTATCGCTCAACAGAAAATGCAGTTGTTAATTGCATCCTTGTACTGACCTTAAATTGAACGAATCAACTGATTCCTAACACCTTCATTCTTTCAAGACGACGAAACTCACATCAATCAATGATTCACTTTTCGATAATGGACATCACTTCACATGAATTAAACCGAAAAATCGATTATGCTATAGTGCAATCATTCATCTTCCATACGTAACACACATAAAGCTGATCAATTCGACAGTTTTAAAAATTGAAAACTGCACAAAAGTTGTGAAACGAAATCCAAATTTGGATAGAATGAAATCACAGAAGTGATCAAACGATGACATACATTTATAATGCGTTAAATATGAAATGAAAACTATCCATTTCGTAGGGTATGTCCATAAAATCAGAGTGGATTTCATCAGATAGTATGGAAATAATAGTACAGGATGTTTGTGAAGACTAGAAACGGTTTTTTTAAACGCTATGGCAACTAAAGCATATATGTAATGGAAATAACACGTACAAAAATGTTATCAGGGAAACTAAGAACGAGCAGCACAGCAAAACTTTGTGCAAGTTCCAGGAGCTGATCATATTTGAGTGAAAGATTGCACAAACGAGAAACTAAGAGTTCGAATGTTGCACGAGAAGAGGAGCTCGTGAAGGATAAGTTTGAATTTCAAACGTTCAACTGAATACCGCCTTTGAACAAAATCTCCGAAGTGAAATTTCTCAAAAGCCATTGAACCGTTTCGAAAAGTACAAACGTAACACGAAATAATTATGCACAATGGAACGTAAATTCAGCTGCTTTTCTCCTTTTCGTCACTTGATGACGATCGTGAAGGACTGTGATCGTTGTGACGAAACGTTTCATCGAAATACCGCAACACCTGTCGATAAACACCTCCCTGCAATCGATTATCATGGCAAATCCGAATATAACTTACCTTCTTATGTAACAGTAAGAAAAGACGACATGAAAAGTGAATGATATATAAGTAAGAGGAAACTAGAACTGCAGGCAGTTGTGCTTGAAATGACACTGCAATGATATCAACGTTTCATTGAGGTCAATATTTGCAGGGATCCAATACAAAATGGTCATGGTTACCATCAACACGCAATGAAATGTTGCTGATGAAGGGGTGGAAAGTGAAAATCTTATTCGAACTCTCTTTCGAACCTTCCAAAGGCACTGACTAAAATAAGCAGCGAACCTGAGTATCGAGCAGCGACTGATAGACAAGACTGCCAATTATTCCTGCAGCTCGAAAGCCTGCCAGCACAAAGTTGAGATGCCCATGTAGGAGAGCAACTGGAATATATCGCATTTGATATTTGCTTACAATTTAGTGCTATGTCATGGATAAATAACAAGTGTTATGTGTCAGCATATTATGGAACTTATTACAAGAAGAAAGCAAAACTCCCATACGATGAAAACAAAAGGCACAATTTTCGACGATCAGCTTCATCGGATTACACTCTTACTTAATGTGGTGCGGGGATCGGTGATTCCAATGGCGACCTTTTTCGATATTTGCGTTTCTCTTGTAAAACTGAACTGCTCTCAGTTAATGAAAGTAACAATGAAATACAAAGTGATGAACCTGTAAACTGCAGCGAAAAGAGTGTTGCACACGAGAGCAGTAACGTTGAGATTTCCGATCGTGCGTCCTTTAGCACTAACAATCCACGGAACAGCAAGCCAAATGCGAACATCGCCGCGCCATACATTCGAACACTTAACATTTCTTCGGGTGGAGGTGAGTAGCCAAATTCTATATAGCTACCAAATGCGGGTGCTACGAGGCACTGAAAATGTAACTCATTTCGCATCGTCATTCGTTTGCGAGAAGTATTAACAGCGTTCAGCTGTAATCATAATGATTTCTGCTTTAAACTTCGGACTGAGTTCACGACGACTACCCAATGAGCAGATAACTTCGAAGTTCATTCGAGAGATAATTAAATCGAAAATAAATGTTTCTGCGGTAATTATACTAATATGGAATTTCAGAATTACCCGGTACACAAAAGCAGTACCGGCTACCTATACTCAGTTCCAGCAATCAGATTAAAAAGTAAGTAACAAAGCATTCAGTTGCGCTCAGGAGTAGCCAAAAAACTGGTAAGACTTATTTCGGCATACAAAAAATCACAGCATATAATTCTCCGAATTCAAATGTAGACTAAAACTGAAGGATGATTAACATACCACGATACCGGACATATATATATAAATCGTAATCGCCGTATTCCAATGGAGAAGTCCTCGTGGGAGACGCACGTATAGACTCTCATTAATACCGAGTAACTGTGAGATCTGAAAGCTATTTATTTTGACGAACAACTGACTCAAAATAGATATCCTGTTGCAAAGGAGATTTAACATCTACAAACGTCTAAAGCTAAAGATTTCAAAACCCACACAAAAGATGGTCACGTCGACTTACGGTTAGTCGAGTCGACTAAATTGACACACTTTGTTGGATGAATACGTTTCCTTTCCTTTTTTTTGCAGACACATGTTTCAGACGAAACGACTTTGAAATACGTGGTTATGGGAAGAGATAATGCTTCAGGCTGGTCAGTGAGAGACGAGAAAATGGAGAATCATTTTAAAATCTGATCATACATCTGCTGAATCCAAAAACAGAGTTGCTTAGAAAATGAATGAACGTACCTTTGAACGATAGATGTCTCCATTGTCGCCAACCAATTCACCGACGCCCAACAACTTACGAGTCTTCAGTCGACTTTGTAGATCGCTAGCGCTCTGCTTCCTGCCAACACACTGTTCACTATCCGATACTTGCATTTAGATTAATAACTGCTGCTGTTTGATTTCGTTGAGTTCCTAGTGCAGTGATTGTTTTGCGTTTTGTTTCTTGCAGCTACTCACCAAACGATTACGAGTTTCACCTCATCGAACTTGACCTTATGTCACTGCACTCTCTCACTAGTAATAAACGATCGTCCATAAACCACCCAACCGATTTTGATTGAAACGCGACGAATACACAATATGGTACAAATACGCAACCGCAACGCTATGGCAACCATATAACAACATTCAGTAGTTTGAGAATAATACTCAAGCAACAGTTTTGCTCTTTTATCTACAATCATTTAACACATTCCCAAAAATCCCAAACCAAAATTAAGTTGAGGAAATGTGCAAAAGTCATAGTGAAGACATGAAAGTGAAAATATCTGCTGTTTAGAAATCTGATTAATTATTTGAATGGTTCAAGCATATTTTTAAGCGAAATGCTTTGTTGATAAACAAAATAAACCATTCCAATATGACGATTAATTGGAACATCAAAAACCGATCAAAATGGACTTGCAAGTTATTCGTACATGAACGAATGCTCATGTAAGAAGTCATCGACATCTCTAAATACACTGAGACTCTGTCATTTCATTGCTAAAATGTGAGAGAATTTCCACAGAAATGAACTCTCATATAGCAGTCAACACATCTGTTTAATGTTGCTCTCAACTTTACGACGAATTTTCAATGTTTTTTTCAAACGAAACTTTTCCTTTTAGTGCATTGTCAACGATATTCGATGTCAATTCACAGGGCTAACTGCAACTTGTTGCAAGTAGTTTCTGACAGCAGTTAACAATAAACGTGATCACTTAATGCCCTCACTCTTTTTCCATTACTTGTTACTTCTTTTCCTCCTTTTGAATGTTGAAAATTTTACTACTCCGATCAACGCTCTGGTGCGATACACACCATTCAGCATAAATTAGAAAATTGAAATGAGCCGTCAAACACTCAACAAAATCAAAACGATCATACTCTGCCTCCAAATGCGATACTAAAAACGGCCTGCAAACACCTACTCATTGCATACACTCAGAATCTAGGCATTATGAATGCGAACGTGTGAACTGAAACGACACGGCAGCGATCGATCGCGGCAGGTGGTAACAGCCCTTCTGAATGGATTATTCACATTTCTGGCAAACTTCAATTATAATTCGGTAACAAATAACCACCGATTTTGCGAAACCCATTAACATCGTTTTTTGATCTTTTTAAAACAAATCATTCCTTAAATGATCAGCTCATTATTCAAACTGCTGAGGAATTCGGGTTGTATTATAAACTGAATCGAGCATCTCACAAGTGATTAAACATTGACCAGTACATGATTCTTCAGAAATCTCTGCAAAGCGGCTGGGGATTGCTGAGGAATTGCAGGTTGTATTTATGGGATGATTTTGTTCACGATTCCCAAGGAGACGGGAAACGGATGAATCATAAATATGTTACATGCTAATGACTGACTGCCATGGAACGCCTCTAACGAAAATAACCGCAGACTATGATCATTCGAACTACTCATCCTATTCCTCTTTCTCTGAACTCTGGGGGCAGTTCATGGTTAATCCCCTATTCAACGAAGCAAAAAATCACACTATCGGTCTAATCAACCTCCGCTTGTGTAAAAATCATATCTCGGTTCACGGATAACGACCACAATTATGGAACAAATTGTGATCGTCTCATGTATCGTAAAACGCATGCAACGAAGGCTAATTCTGTTGCGTTCAAATCAAACACATGTGACGATGCCTACAAAACGCACACGCACACACACCACAAACACATACTCAGATAACACATACACACACATCCCCCTGCTATCATCTCATCGTCATCAGCAGCAAATCGCATATAAGTGACAGCGATTCGCTATTGATTGACGCATCTAATCGAAGAAAAGATGCGAATAACACAAACATCTTCATAACGACATTGCATTCTTATTGTGCACTAGCATTCAGCTATTCCACTCGTTAGATATTTGAACTGATGATGTACGGATGGGAACAAGGCTCACATGAGAGCGCGTGGCATAGGAACGCGGTCATAAAAACCACATAACATCGCTGACGAAACAATGCATGACAAAGTTAACATTCCAAAAGGATTGATTCTATGGGGGCGCTACTCAGTTCGAGCAACTGAATGGTCGCGAAGATGAACTGTGAGTTATGCTGGATGGACAGATGAGGCCCGTGTGTCATGAAAGATCGACGAACATAAACGGTTGACGCTTTACAACTGGAGGCCACTACGGATCTCCCCTTCATTGCTTAGGCATGCAGGGGCCTCATCTATGATTCTACCACAGCTCGAAAAATAAATGGACAAACGGTACGCTATTAGTCCACCCCTACAGAACAGCGTTGTGTGGCTAAATGAAAAAAAAAAGAAGGATAAGCTTGTTCTAACAGTCCAACAACTCTGACTGAAGAGTTGGTTTCGCCTCTATTATTTCTGAGGATGAATATTTAATCGATACACCACCGTTCAGTTGGGTCACCATTTTTCGGGAAGCTCCTTATGTCAGTGCGCTCTTGCTTTAGTGTGGGTGCGCTTTTCTGTGATACGCCCTTACGTTAGCCATCTATCCATGGATAGAAGTAAAAGATGAAAATTATGTGCCTTGCCAGTGCCAGTGTTTGATGCGCTCAGAAGTTAAATTATGTTCCTCATTATCGTCTTCACTGTTTATTCTTCGTTTGATAATATGTCAGTTAAACACACACAAACGCTTATCCAATGCACACATATCTATTATTCAAACGATCTAATCTCCCTCAGTTTGCAACTTCTTTTCACAACCAATGAGCAAGTGCAAAATGAATCTCTCAGTGACCCCTTTCGAATCCGTAAATCCATTATGAAAATATTGCGGCAATGTCCGTTCAGTTGAAGTCAATCCCAAGCGTCTGTTGCGGCTTGAAACTTAAAATGCTCTCTTGAAGATGCTACAGTTCTGTTCTCGGCAAGCGATTTTCCACAATCGAACGCCCAAATATGTTCTGGTCTTTAGAGTACAATATCAGATGACGATGGAACATCAATGTGAGAAGTTGTCTCAGCACTGAGGTCGCAACTGCAACATTTCAAGGACCTCGATCATGAATAATGCTAATGTATCACACACAACAGTAACTTGTAGTCAGACTGACAGATTTCTTAAATGAAGTGCGGTGTCATGCATGTCTGTCCGATGATGCGTCCCTTGTTGAGTGTGATTTGCGACATTTTCGTTGGAATTATCGGTTAGCAGATGGAAAATAGGAGCAACAATAAACCACATGGATTAGAGATAAGGAAAGAAAAGTAAATGTGATAAATGTGTTTATGAGAGATTGCAACGGTATGAGACTAATAGAAAACAAAGATGCGAAATCGGCTTTTTGAGAGGCTTATCTCAATATCACAAAAACATCTCTTCATGATAGACCCATTCATAAAAAGTTTTTTTCTCTCAGAGTAAAAAGTGTTTGCTGGGAATTCAAATAATTAGCACCTATATATTTAAAACAGTGGTAAAACATTCGGAGGGTTCAAGCCACAACTGCATTTACCGTAAGACTACGGAAAGTTTATCCCTCGAAAACTATTGTTAACCTGTTGAATCTCTTCCAGGCGAATAGGACTGAAACAGTACATTAGGTGGCATTAACGCAAACAGTCTCGCGCTCCAAGTTTGAAATGGGCTCTTTCAATTCCTGAACAGCAGATAAGCATCTGGCTTAAGAAAGCGAATTTTGTAACTTTAGGTCCTTAGATTATGCGTTTGAAGGATGTAAGGATGATTTCTATGAGCATTTCAATTCTTTTGAGCACATGATATTGTTTTCTGAATCAATCTCACAGTCAAAAAATTTAGGAGTAGATGGAAAGGTCGCTATATCATTTCGAACGCCCTACCCAGTAGATTTTAATCGTGATAATTTTTTTTGAATCGATATGCTTTGCACATTCTAGAAAACATGAACTAAAGCGAACGGTTAAGTGGAAAATACCCTGAATTACATATGGATACAACTAATGGTAACTGTACAGTGTTAGTAAAATGCTTCTTATTGTTAGGCCTGCGGACCACAACTGAGTCTCAACAGGTTTGAACGGACCAATCAGCATTCTGGATTGGTAAACATGGTAAAATTACAAAACAATAAAATTCCGACTGACTTCGAGTTAATTCTCTTACGTTATTTATTCATCATCTTTTTTTAAGCTAGACGCTACCACTCGTAAGCAATTAAGGTAAGTTATCATATTGTTCGAATTAGCAAAAAAGTCAAACGATACGAAAATGATTCAGACTACTTGAGCTGTTAAACAAGTTTGTGAAAGTCTCTGCAGTCATATCAGACGCCGAAAATGTGATTTATTAATTCGTTACAGAGAAAAATGGAGCCAACTGTTATGAAACCCTTCCCGTTAGCAAGATAGTCGATGGCATCAAGCATAGCATGATGCATCAGTGTAAAGTCAACGATTTCTGTGTACAATCATTATTGAAACACAAACAATGAATATTTTCTCACTTTGATTAGTGATTGATGATGTTCCATTATTAGGTTATATTAGGTCTAGTAGAGAGTTTCCGGGCAGTTAAACCCAAAATTTCAATGTTTCATAACTCGGTTCAAAATCAACATTTTTAATCAAAATAAAAACCGTTCGCCTCCACACAACGTCCCCAATGCGAAACCATGGCTTTTATCCCCGTAGCCTAGAAACCGGGTTCCCTGGAATCAAAAAATCAGCGGATGTCAGCTTTTATTACAGTCTCATTTGGGAAGTTCTTTCCACGCAGGAAAAGCTCCAGATTTTTGAAAAGGTGATAATCTGTTGGCAAAAGGTCGGGAGAGTAAGCTGGACGAGGCAGAATCTCGTTATCCTGTAAAAGGATCGGACCACTTTTGTTCATCAGTGCTGGCCTTACTCTCAACAACTGGACCCTTGCCACCTCAAGTGTTTGAGAGTAGTATTCGGCGTCAATGGTTTGCCCAGGTTCAAAGAATTCGAAATGCACAACACCGGTGGTACACCAGTAAACGATGAGCATCATTTTTCGTGGGCGCAGTGTCGGTTTCAGCATCATTTTTGGTGGCTCACCTACATGCAGCCATTGAGCTGACCTCCGCCGATTATCATATCCAATCCACTTTTCTTCCACAGTAATAATTCCACAAGGAATGAATCACCGCTGTTTCTGAGTAGCAGTGAAGAACAAATTTCCAAACGTCTAAATTGCTGCGCTTCATCCGGTTCATGTGGAACCCACCGATCCAACTTCTTGACCTTGCCAAACTGCCACAGATGGGTTGCGACAGTTTTTTGGCAGACATCGAGTTGTCTGCCATCTGCACTTGCGACTGAGTGGGGTCTCCACCTCTTTCAGTTCGTTGTTGTTGATGTCGGAAGGGCGACCTGACCTCGGTCCATCTTCGAGGTTTATTTCTCCGGTGGCGAATTTCTTGAACCAATCCCGAACTGTGGATCTGGAAGTGGTTCCCTCCCCAAATGCGTTGTTGATATTAGCCGCCACCTCCCTGCTCGAACGACCGAGTTTTAACTCATAAAGCATAATTCCGCGAATTATAATCTTATCCATTGCCTTGATTTAATGCTCCCAAAGTTCATAAATTAAAAAACGAATAGATGGTATCGGTATATTCAGATAGTGGAGAAAATGGGCTACAAAACGACATATGACACTAGATACAAGTACTGTACAATGAGACGCAATAATCGATTGCATTAGTTTGCCAGCGTGCCTGCCCGGGAACTTTCTCCTAGACCTAATTGACATCACAACGCAATTGAAATTTTTTATATTACTTCCGAAATTTTTCGTAATCTTCAAATATCTAAATAAGCACTAACAGCGATGGCTTCAAATAATATTACGTGATATTTAAAATGATTTCACAGTCAACACTGATGAGAAACATTTTGGTGTGAAAAAAAAACGTTCATGTAAAGGAAATGGCAAATAAACGTTCAACCCATATATCAGACAAAAGGTATTTCGAACTGCGTTGTGGAATCAATCTTTCGATGACAGCGGGTCCAACTGAACCTTAATAATAGAGAACAGGATGCTACAGCAAATGAGTAAAGATCACCGCAATTTCTTCAAGCAGTTCAACAAGAAAACGTAACCGTCCCTCAGTAATAAAAATAAATTCCACAATCGATTTTTGCACACATAGTACATGTTCGCATTGCGTGCGTAATCGATGTCGTATCATCACCACTTTATACAACCAGCTTTGCAAACACAACCCATGAGAAGAATATTGCAATGTGCAAACGAGAGCATTTTGTGATTCATAACGCACAATTATACGGTTTTATTTGAAAAAATCATGTTAAGGCGTGCAGTGATTAGGAATGAACATTGCCAAATATCATTCGATAATTTCAGGAACGCTTAAGATGGAATACGCCTTTTGCTGCTCAACTTTCGACGATGCAAAAAATCGAGCACTTGCTCATCTGCTGATTTAAATGAATAAGTTGATCATAATTGTGTTCAAAAGATGGCGATCAGCGCTTTACCTCATCAGTCTGATTAGCATAGAAGAGCTGAGTGTTCATGGTGAAAAACAGAAAAGTGAAACACGATGATTAGAATTATGAAAAAATGAACGTAAACAGTAATTAAAAGTAGTTATTGATGAGCTGCGATATAGGATAATGCATGAAATAGATGTATGTCAAAAAGAGTGTTGCCACTCGAGCAGTAACATGAACACAGCGAGCTGGTCGTAGGAGCAGTATCAGTTAGCAGCACAAGCATAACAGCTGCCTGAGTGAAGCATAACACAACGCATTAGTGGCTTATAGTGAAGTGTGCTTGTGACTGCATCGCTTGTTGTTATGCGCTGACAATAGCAGAAAATTTAACGTTCTCCTCGTTTTGTTATAAATGTTAGCTAATCACAGAGTTTCTCTACGAAACCGAGTTTAGCCGCGTCGCAAACACTCTCATTTCTTCGCTTTCCTCATTTCTATTCAACGCAATCACATGGCAGGCTGGCTTTTTTGAGATGTTTTCAGCAACTGATTCATGCATACACACATTGCTTGATCATTTTGAAGTGAATATATATATATATATATAT